CCCGCGGACCAGGAGGAGGTGGGCTGCCAGCCTGGCCGATGGGCTGGGGGTGGGGGGATGGGAGTGGCCTCAAGGGGCCTCTGCACCTGCCTGGCTAGCCAGGCACTGCGATCAGTGGGCATCACGGGAGCCCTCTGATGGCACGGCCTGGGCCAGGGGAAGCTCAGTGTCCGTCAGTGGAGAGACTAGACAAGCAGATAAAGAAATGAAGAATCCACCCGCCCTCTCCGGCTGGGCTCCGCCCTACCCAGCCCGCCTTCCTCCCCTTTGACCCCAGCTCGGAGAAACCACCATTTCCAGTCTGCTCGGGCCACGAAGTCCTCAAGTTCAGAGCCCAGAGCGGGCGGCCGCCCCCATCCCTCGTGGCACTCAGCTGGCTTTCTTCGGGCGTGTCCCCTGCCACTTTATGCGGTCCGTCCACTTGCTGCTGAGATATTAACGCGCTTCAGGGGTCAGTGGAGGCCAACAGCCGTGCTGTTAATAGGGCAAAGCAATTCCAATTTCATGCCGACATGGGCTTCCCTCTATTAAGGCAGAGTGGGAACAAATCTTTTTTTTTTTTTATTCTTTCCAGAAAACAGGCAAAGGCGTCGTGTGACAGAGGCTTAGGTAAGATGGCTGGCAGGCAGCAGAGGGGGCAGGTTGGCTCATGTGAGACAGAACAGAGCCTCGAGGAAGAAGGAAGTAGGGTGAGGAGGCCGGTGGCACTATGTGGTTGTGGCCTGCTGATCCGGCCTGGATATTTATCCCGATGAACATCTGACAGCCCCCAACCCTTGAAAGTCATGTGCTTCAGTGTTGCTATCAACCTGCCAAATGTAGGTAGGCAAATATTCACCGAAGGAACGGATCGCGTAGATGGCAAAAAATGGCCCTACGTCTGCCTCTTGCCCCGTGTCCACACAGTATGCAATGGGACTTTGCAGCTCTTCTCAACAAAAAGTCCAGTCTGTTTCTCTACCCCCTGAAGCTGGGCTGGCCTTGTGACTTGCACTGGTGAGTGAAATGTGGTACAAGTGATGGAGTGTGGGTTCCCCTGGATCACAAGAGGCCTGTGTGCTTTGGCTCTCCCTCTTGCTCCTCGGCCCTCCGTGGGCTGGCCTGCTGGAGGATGACAGACGGGGCAGAGCTGGGTCATGTCAGTGAAGGTGACCCTCGACCAGGCAGCCCCCAGCTGACTGCAGATACAAAAGGGAGCCCAGTCTCCATCAGCTAAGCCTGGCTCAGCTCAGCAGCGTGACGAAAATATCGAATGGTGGTTGATGTTGACGATTTGGGGATGTTTGTTATACAGCAGCATTGTGGCGATCGAGAACTGATACAAGAGCCGCACGACGGTGTTCCTACTGAATCTGCAGCCCTCGTGCTCCTTGACCCATGGTGAGGACTTCATAAACATTTGTTGAACAAGTTGATGTACTTTTGGAAGTGCTGATGTAACTACTTGTCTCTCCCCGCAGTGCGTAGTGAATTGTCCTACCTCTAAGCTTTTGTTCATTCTGTTCTCTCTGTCTAGAATATTCTCTGCCTGGCCAGCCTCTCTCTTTCCTTCTGGCGTTTGTTCTCTTTGGTTTCCTCTGACCCATCTCTCCCACCCCGGCAGAATGGATCTCTCCCACCTCAGTGCGCCAGAGCTCTGGGGAGGTGCTGAACACTCATCTCACTGAGTCACCTTGGTTAGTCGGGTAAATGTCCTCCCCTCTCTAGACCATGAACTCCCTCAGGGTAGAGAGAACATCTTGCTCATCTCCGCAGCCTGGATGCCTAGGACAGGACCCCGTCCATAGCAGGTCTTGGAGAGGTGCTGATTCATTCATTCATTCATTCATTCATTCACTGGCTCAATACTTGTTAAGCACCTGCCATGTGTGAGACTCTGGTCCAAGCACTGAGGACACAAAAGTGAATGATACAGACGTGGCTCCCACGCTCAAAGACTGCCATTCTGGCCAAGGGTAGGGCAAAGGCCCTGAGGCAGACGTGGGCTTGAACAGTTTGAGGAACGGAAAGATGAGCGTGAACGGAGGGGGATGTGTGTGAATGAGACCAGGTCACCAGGCGGGGCTGCGTCCCATGTGGCTCGTAAAGGCTTTGGATTTATTTCCTGCATGGTGGTGCCTTAGTCCAGTGGGGCTGCTATAACAAAATACCACAGACTGGGTGGCTTACGAACCAACAGAAATTTATTGCTCATGGTTCTGGAGGTTGGGCATCCACGATCAGGGGTTCTGGTGAGGCCGCATTTTCCGGAGGTGGACTGCTGACCTCTCGCCGTGTCCTCACACAGTGGAAAAAGCAAGCTAGCTCTTGGGGGTCCCTTTCTAAGGGCACTGCTCCTATGTATGAGGCCTCTACTCTCATGAACTCAGCACCTCCTGATACTATCCCGTTGGGCATTAAGTACCAACACATAAATTTGGGGAAAGCAGAGACATTCAGTCTGTGCAGTTACTAGAAACTGCAGTTTCTAGTAAACCATTGGAGGGTTCTGACTTGGAGGGTGCCGTGGGGTGATTTCTGTTTAAAAGCATCCTTCTGGCTGCTGTGGGTGGGGGGCTGGGCAAGAGGGGAAGCTGAAGACCGGGTAAGAAACCCAAGGTAGTGTCCCAGGTTAGAGGTGGCTTTGCGTAGAGGGCTGGCAGTGGAGAAGGAAGGTAGTGAATTCAGGATGAGAGTTGAGAGTCAACCCAACAGGCTGTCGGGTCGGACGTGGAGAGACGAAGGCAAGAGGTGGACGGATAAAAGCCAAATGTTTCACCAGGTCAACCGGGTGGATGGGGACCATTTTCTGAGAAGGGCAAGTCTGGAGGAGGAGCATGTACAGGAAGGCAAATCCAAAGCTGAGTTTCAGCCCCCAGGGAGTGGGAGGGGCATGTTAGACACCCATGCGGGGAGGGGCCAATTGTAGCCAGTCGGATTTCTGAGTCTGGAATTGCAGGGAAGTTCGCGGGTAGAGATTTGGGAGGCAATATGGAAATGAATAGAATTGGCCATCCAGGTCCTGACTTGGCCAGAGGCAAAGGGGCTGTGAAGACAGCAAGGGGGGCAAAGCCACGGCTTAATTCCCAGCCTGGCATGTCTGGGGTCTAGAGATTTGGTAGGGACGCCCC